GAAGTAGGCAACTTCTTCAATTTCTCTATCCCCTCTATCCTCCTCCGAAGCAGTTTCCTCAGGTGTGGCCTCTTGCTCTTGAAGATGATCTAGCAGCTGATCAGTGGTTAGTTCTTCATTGTCCTCCTCCACCAATTCTTCCACATCCTCCCCACTAACCTCCAACCCCAAGGACTTCCCCAATGCCACAATGGATTCCTCAACTGGCATAGGATTCCCAGGGTTAGCCTTAAACCCTTCAAAATCCCTTTTGTCTACACATTCTGGCCACAGTTTTTTCCAAGCAGAGTTCAAGGTCCTCTTAGTCACTTCCTCCCAAGCCTTACCTATAATGTTTACACAATTGAGGATGCTAAAGTGATCTCTCCAAAACTCTCTTAGAGTCAGTTGAGTTTCTGAGGTCACTACAAAGCACCTTTCAAACATAGCTTTTGTGTACAGTTTCTTGAAGTTTGCAATGACCTGCTGGTCAATGGGCTGCAGGAGAGGAGTGGTATTAGGAAGCAAAAACTTCACCTTAATGAAGCTCATGTCCGCAGAAAGTCGCTCTGCCAAGTCTGAAGGATGACCAGAAGCATTGTCTAATACTAAGAGGCACTTAAGGTCCAATTTATTTTCCAGGAGGTAATTTTTCACAGTGAGGGCAAATGCATGGTGTAACCAGTCATAGAAAAAGTCCCTAGTGACCCATGCCTTACTGTTTGCCCTCCACAGCACACACAAATTAGCCTTGAGGACATTGTTTTTCCTGAACACTCTGGGAGTTTCAGAGTGACACGCTTCACTTTGCAATCACCACTAGCATTGGCACACATCAACAGAGTAAGCCTGTCTTTCATAGGCTTATGTCCTGGGAGTGCCTTTTCCTCCTGAGTAATGTAGGTCCTGCTTGGCATTTTCTTCCAAAACAGGCCTGTTTCGTCACAATTAAACACTTGTTCAGGTTTCAGTCCTTCACTGTCTATGTACTCCTTGAATTCCTGCACATATTTTTCAGCCGCTTTGTGGTCTGAACTGGCAGCCTCACTATGCCTTATCACACTATGTATGCCACTACGATTCTTAAATCTCTCAAACCAACCTTTGCTGGCCTTAAATTCACTCACATCACTAGTTGCTGGCATTTTTTTAATTAAATCGTCATGCAACTTCCTAGCCTTTTCAAATATGATCGCTTGAGAGATGCTATCTCCTGCTATCTGTTTTTCGTTTATCCACACCAATAACAGTCTCTCAACATCTTCTATCACTTGCGATCTCAGTTTCGAAAACATAGTTGCACCTTTGGCAAGAACAGCTTCCTTGATTGCCATTTTCTTGCCCACAATAGTCGCGATGGTTGATTGGGGTTTTGTGTACAACCTGGCCAGCTCGGAGACACGCACTCCACTTTCATACTTAGCAATGATCTCTTTCTTCATATCCATAGTAATTCCCACCCTTTTTGCTGTAGGGTTGGCACTAGAAGCTTTCTTGGGGCCCATGGTGACTTATTTTGCAGGTGCAATCACTACCAACGCTGTGATAATATGAAATGTTCCAATTGTATGTTTGGATGGGACCGCGGTGGCTGGCTGGCTTGTAAACACTGGCACCCACGGGACAAGTGAGGCGTGCTCAGGCCACAAGTGGACGCATCTCAAGCGGAACGAATAGCATTGATCGGGTTTTTTAGCGCTAGTCGAGGCAAAATTTTTGCGTTAAAATGTATTGCTAGTCGGATTTAACGTTAGACGATGCCAACGTTGGTCGAGGGTCCACTGTATCTGAAAACATTCGCTTCTTCCATACTACTCCTCTCAAATTTGATATCCAATTTTTCTTTATCTAAATCATTTGATACCCTCATTACCTTACTCTTTTCTATGTTCACTTTCAAATTTCTACCTTTACACACTCTCCCAAACTCATCCACTAACCTTTGCAACTCTTCTTTTAGAATCTCCCATAAGCACAGTATCAACAACAAAAAGTAACTGTGTCAATTCCCATTTTGTATTTGATTTCCCATAATTTCATCCCAACCCTCTCCCCAACACCCTAGCATTTACTTCTTTTGCAACCCCATCTATAAATATATTAAACCACCATGGTGACATTACACATCCCTGTCTAAGCTTAACCCACCTTTACCGGGAAGTAGTCTCCCTCTCTTCTACACACCCTAACCTGAGCCTCACTATCCTCATAAAAACTCTTTACAGCATTTACTAACTTACTACCTATTCCATATACAGTGGACCCCTGAGTTTCAGCAGCCTTGACTTTCGTGAAATTCGACCTTCGGCGAGTTTTTTTTTTGAAAAACTTGGCCTCGAGTTTAGTGAAAAGACTCGTGTTTCGGCGACTGTCCGGTACCCGTCCGTCCGTCACCACGCACACCAAGCCAGTCTCCCACACCATTCACGCTCAGTGTGCCATTGTTTACCAACACGTGACCATCACCCCGCAGGTTCATACATTTCATAATAATCCATTGTTTTTTGTGCTTGCAACTGCTAAATAAGTCATCATGGACCCAAGGAAAGCTATTGCAAGCCCTTTTATTAAATAAAGTGAGGAACATGATCCAGAGGGATTTTGACGGGGATGTGGAGAGTTGGCGGAGGACCACAGGGAAGAGCTAATCACTGATGAACTGCAAGAGCTTCAACTGGAACAGCATCAGACCACAGCCGATGAACTTGCTTCAGAGGAGGAGGAAGAGGGAGTGGATGAGGTGCCTTCTTCAAAGATTAAGGAGATTTGTGCAATATGGAATGAGTTGCAAAGTTTTGTTGAAAAGTATCACCCTGACCAAGCTGAAACAAGCCATATCTGCAACATGTACAATGACAGTGTTGTGTCCCACTTCAGGGAAATCTTAAAGAAACGCCAGAAAAAGACCTCTCTGGACAGATATTTTGTGCGACAGGGGTCCAGTGACTCTCAAGTTGTTCCCAGTGGCACTAAAAGAAGAAGGGAAGTAACCCCAGATAAGGACTTGCTACCTAAAGTCCTAATGGAAGGAGATTCTCCTTCCAAACAATAGTGTACACCTTCCTCCTATCCCCTCCTCCCGTCTTCCATCCACGCAGAAGTCTTCAGTAAAGGTAAGTGTAATGTTATTATTATTTTTTTAAATGCATGTACTTGATTTCTGATTATTTTCATTATGTAAATCTTTATTTAATTTGAAAAAAATATATTTTATTTTAATATTTTTGGGTGTCTGGAACGGATTAATTTTATTTCCATTATTTCTTATGGGGAAAATGGTTTCAAGTTTCGTGAATTTCGACCTTCGGCGGGCTCTCTGGAACAGATTAATCACGAAACTCGGGGGTCCACTGTACTTGCAACATCTGCCACATTGCTCCCCTATCCACTCTATCACATGCCTTTTCTAAATCCATAAATGCAATGAAAAGTTCCCTACCTTTATCTAAATACTGTTCACATAAATGCTTCAATGTGAACACTTGATCTACACATCCCCTACCCACTCTAAAACCTCCTTGCTCATCTGTAATCCTACATTCTGTCTTGCCTCTAATTCTTTCAATAATAACCCTACCATACACTTTTTCTGTTATATTCAGTAAACTTATTCCTCTATAATTTTTATGAATCTTATCATTCTAAAAAATCTAGATATGAACACTACCCTACAATCGTACATTCCAATTTTAGTTTAATATACCAATAAGATTTTCTGTACTGCATAGTCAATGATATCTCTCTTATTCAAAATTATGCATATGTCAGATGTCTAAATCATGGTAAATGTCAAATTATAGAGTTAGAGACATTTTATCAATAACTTTGATCATTAATTATTATAGCATTTGATTTTACTAGCTGAATGAATTGGTAAGCAACTACCTTGAGTATGTTGGACTAAACACACACACTCATAACTATGTTTTTATTGATTTTCAAGTTTGTTTTCAACTTTTGATAATGTAAATTGTGTTTAGATAATACATTGGCAATTGAATCTTCATTGCAATGTTGATAATTATGCAGGGTAATAAAAATTTAAAGTAAAAATTAAGTCTTTTCCACCTCCGATGAAATATACTTCTGCAAAACCCACAATCTATGTATGCATGGAGGAAACATTCAATAACGGTCTTGTCAGTAAGGCACAGACATCACAATTCATCACTCTCTCCAGTAAACCTATATAACAGACTAATGAGGAAAATCATCTGAGTGTCTGTTAAATCAAAATTCTTTCTTTCAACGTACCAGCCGTATCCCACCGAGGTGGGGTGGCTCAAAAGGAAAAACGAAAGTTTCTCCTTTCAAATTTAGTAATATATACAGGAGAAGGGGTTACTAGCCGCTTGCTCCCGGCATTTTAGTCGCCTCTTATGACACGCATGGCTTACAGAGGAAGAATTCTGTTCCACTTCCCCATGGAGATAAGAGGGAATAAACAAGAACAAGAACTAGAAAGAAAATAGAAAAAAACCCAGAGGGGTATGTATATATATGCTTGTACATGTATGTGTAGTGTGACCTAAGTGTAAGTAGAAGTAGCAAGATGTAACTGAAATCTTGCATGTATACGAGACAGAAAAAAGACACCAGCAGTCCTACCATCATGTAAAACAATTACAGGCTTCCGTTTTACACTCACTTGGCAGGACAGTAGTACCTCCCTGGGTGGTTGCTGTCTACCAATCTACTACCTAGTAAATCAAAATAATGTTACAAAATAGCAGAAAAAACAATTAAATACTTTACTGCATGCCTGATATAGTAGTGTGCACACAATTTACAGATCTACTGCAATAAATATTGAAAATAAAGGAGTAAAGAGTAGTTTACTATGTGGTTTTTCTCATTATTTCAGAAGTCTGTTGTATAGAGGGTTTGCTGTGCTGTATGATATATATGTTCACATACATCACAAAAATAACATACTAGAAAACTTAGAGGTATGTATATATAGCAAATGGACGACTATACCAATGATTATAGAGAAAATGTTTTAAGTTAGGATGAAACTTGGGGTAAGAGAAATGCTATATCATATAACAAATCACAAAACTTAATAAGAGATGGAAAAATAAAATGACTGTTAAACCTATGACCTTACCAGGAGGCCCAGGTGTTACTTTAAAAACAGGTCTGTTGACACTGACAATCTTCTGTGTCGGTCCAGAGGGAATTCCAGTGGAAGGCTTCTGCACTAAAGTGACTGTCTGAGTATTTCCTGTCTTGGTGGTGACCATAGATATTGTAGGCTTGATGGGTGTAGCTGCAATCTTCATTCCCGCATTAGGTCCACCCAAACTAATGCGGTTTCCTCCACCAAGGCTATTTGACAAACTCGATATTTTCTGTTTTTTTTAAATAAAAAATACACTTTTATAACATTAATTATACCAACATAATATAGTGGAACCTCTACTTACAAGTTTAATCCATTCCATGACCTTGCTCGCATCTGGATTTGCTCATTTGCAGAGTCAATTTTCCTCATTTAAATTAATTGAACAGGAATTAATTCGTTCCAGTGGAATTCTAGGCACGAGAAAATACTTCATTAATTTCCCTAATATCAACTCTACGGCTTATTTATCTATCAGAATTCATATAATATGACATAAACAATATTAATACATAGAAACATGTTATATACACTAGAATGAATAAAATACATGTCATTACATATATGGCTAGTGGTGGTGACAGGAGGCCATTGTTGTTGTTAGGGTTTATAGGGCCACCACAGTGGCCATTCCTGCTCCTGACTACATGTGTAGAGAACCTAGGATAACACAAAAAAGTCAGACAGAGTGACTTATAAGTGCTACACTCTTAATGCTACACTTAATTGCTACACTCTTAATGCTACACTTTGCCACTGCTGCTTCATGTTGTCTGCCACTGCTACCTCATGATGTCTGCCACTGCTGATTCATGTTGTCTGCCACTGCTGATTCATGTTGTCTGCCACTGCTGATTCATGTTGTCTGCCACTGCTGATTCATGTTGTCTGCCACTGCTACCTCATGTTGTCTGCCACTGCTGCTTCATGTTGTCAGCCACTGCTGCTTCATGTCTGTCACTGCTACCTCATGATGTCTGCCACTGCTGCTTCATGTTGTCTGCCACTGCTGCTTCATGTTGTCAGCCACTGCTGCTTCATGTCTGTCACTGCTACCTCATGATGTCTGCCACTGCTGCTTCATGTTGTCTGCCACTGCTACCTCATAATGTCTGCTCCCACTTCTGCTAGTGTGTTGAAGAGCTTTCCAATATGTGAAGGTTGAGGGGCAGTGCCAATCGAACAGGCATTAGATGGTGACGTCATTTGTTTACTCTTGAACATTGCCAAAGAATCGAACATTTCTGCTACTTTTGAGCTCAATTTCAACGTACTTTTCGTCGTGAAACCAATCAAAATCATATCTGTTTCTGTAGTGTATCTTCCATTCTATCAAATAAGACAAAAAAAAAAAAAAAAAAAAAAAAAAAAAAAAAACAGAATACAACCATAAAAACTATACGAAAATATACTGCCACGGGGAAGCTAATGACTAAGAAGTGAACTCCATTATTTATGGTCTGATTTCTTTCATTTTTGGTGTACGTTAAGAATCATCTTTCCATCATACATTGCCAAAGTTTCAATAAGATAGTCCAACAAACAACTGAGATCCAATTCCCTAGATCAAGAGCAAGAGTCCCTCACCAGCATTGAGGTACCTCCCTTGAGGCCCGCTCGCATCTGAAAGCACATGGATGCACTCGTAAGTAGAGGTTCCACTGTACTAGCTAAGCATTAAATACAGCAATAATCCTGTGTTGTGACCATGGTTCCCAATGGTGTTTATTTGGGAACTAATTGCATCCTTAACCAGATCATGAATACCCCTATAGTATTATTTAAGCAAAATTCTGACACTCCACCATTCTTGAATATGTATTAATTACCAATATACATCATGACATAATCCTATTTTAATTTTAAATGGGTCCACCAAAAACATCCTTTAATGAGGGGTCTTGCGCCTTGTCCAGCCAACATAGATGACACAGATCTTAGGGTGATACAGAAACAAGTGTAATGATCAAATTAATAGTCAAACACAAATGATTAACAAGATAAGAATTTTGTCATGAACCCTTGATGACAACTCACCTTTCTAGATGGCTTGAGTCTATAATTACAAGCTGAGAGGCAGTAACGGTCAGGTGGAAGTCTGATGCCTTGCTGATTGGCCTTGATGGTTGGTAAAGAATTAGCATTTCTTGTTCTTGCCAAATCCAATAGCAGCTGTAAAATTCACAAAATATTTTATACACACAAAAAAAATGAAGCTTACAAAAACTTGCACAAATATACTATAATGGAAGGAAAATAATAATAATAATAATAATAATAATAATTTTTTTTATTAACACATTGGCCATATCCCACCAAGGCAGGGTGGCCCAAAAAAGAAAAACTTTCATCATTCACTCCATCACTGTCTTGCCAGAGGCATGCTTACACTGCAGTTATAAAACTGCAACATTAACACCCCTCCTTCAGGGTGCCAGCACTGTACTTCCCATTTCCAGATGGGTCAGAAGATGCTAATGGAAAGATTAATAAACAACAGAATAATAATATTTGCAGATGATGCAAATTTTTTTTAACAAAGTATAAATCAAAATGCCTGTAAATTCCTCCATGTATATTTCAATATATTTTTTTTTTTCAACAAGTCGGCCGTCTCCCACCAAGGCAAGGTGACCCAAAAAGAAAGAAAATCCCCAAAAAGAAAATACATTCATCATCATTCAACACCTTACTCACACATAATCAATGTTTTTAGAACATAAGAACATAAGAACGAAGGAACACTGCAGCAGGCCTACTGACCCATGCGAGGCAGGTCCAAGTCTCCTACCGGCTTAAGCCAATGCACCCAACCTAGTCAGGTCAGGTCACATTGACTTAAGGGAGGAACACGGCAACCGTCCTGGTAGCACAAGCTAATCAGGTCCAACTCACACCCACCCACACCCACTCATGTATTTATCCAACCTATTTTTAAAGCTACACAACGTTCTGGCCTCTATAACTGTACTTGGGAGTTTATTCCACTCATCCACAACTCTATTACCAAACCCGTACTTTCCTATATCCTTCCTGAATCTGAATTTTTCTAACTTAAAACCATTGCTGCGAGTCCTGTCTAGGCTAGATATTTTCAGCACACTATTTACATCCCCTTTATTTATTCCTAAATAACAAAAAGGCACAATACCGTGACTGGAACGATGCACAAATAACCCGCACATAAAAGAGAGAAGCTTATGACAACGTTTCGGTCCGACTTGGACCATTGACAAAGTCACACCGACTTTGTCAATGGTCCAAGTTGGACCGAAACGTCGTCGTAAGCTTCTCTCTTTTATGTGCGGGTTATTTGTGTATTATTTATTCCTGTCTTCCATTTATACACCTCAATCATATCCCCCCTAATTCTACGTCTTTCTAGAGAGTGAAGATTCAAGGCCCTTAGTCTATCCTCATAGGGAAGGTTTCTGATACATGGGATCAACTTTGTCATCCTCCTTTGTACATTTTCCAGAGCATTTATATCCATTCTGTAATACGGTGACCAAAACTGTGCAGCATAATCTAAATGAGGCCTAACCAAGGATGTATAGAGTTGAAGAACAACCTGAGGACTCCTATTATTTATGCTTCTTGATATAAAGCCAAGGATTCTATTAGCTTTATTGCGAACACTTATGCACTGTTGTCTTGGTTTCAGATTACTGCTAACCAGTACTCCTAAATCTTTTTCGCAATCCGTAATATTAAGATCTACATTATTTAGTTTATATGTGGCATGGTTATTGTCCTGTCCAACATTTAGAACTTTGCATTTGTCTATATTAAACTGCATCTGCCACTTCTCCGACCACTGCATCAGTCTACTCAAATCTTCCTGGAGTGCTCTAATGTCCTCGTCAGAATGAATTCGACGGCCTATTTTGGTGTCATCGGCAAACTTGCTGATGTCGCTCTTTATGCCCTCATCTATGTCGTTTATGTAGATTGTGAACAGCAGGGGGCCCAACACTGACCCCTGTGGAACACCGCTCGTGACGCTTCCCCACTCTGATTTCTCCCCATTTATGCAAACTCTCTGCTGCCTATTTGTCAACCATGCCTCTATCCAGGAAAAAATTTCTCCTCCTATTCCATGTGCCTTAATTTTCCTCAATAGTCTCTGATGTGGGACCCTGTCAAAAGCCTTACTGAAGTCCATGTACACAATATCATATTCATTACCATGATCTACCTCCTCAAATACCTTAGTGAAAAAAGTTAACAAATTCGTAAGGTAGGAACGCCCCTTTGTAAAACCATGCTGAGATTCATTGATTAATTTATGCTTTTCAAGGTGGCTACGAACTGCCTCGGCAATTATTGATTCCATAAATTTTCCCACTATGGAGGTTAGGCTTATTGGTCTATAGTTTGAAGCTAAGGACCTGTCACCTGCTTTGAAAATAGGTATCACATTTGCCATTTTCCACTTATCTGGCACCATGCCAGTTTGTAGTGATATGTTGAAAAGATTAGCCAAAGGTTTGCTAAGCTCCTCTTTACATTCCTTTAGAACCCTTGCATACAGTTCATCAGGGCCTGGGGATTTGTTAGGTTTTAATTTATCTATTTGCCTAAGGACCATGTCACTTGTGACCCTAATCGTGCACAGTTTATTATCGTCCTGTTCCACATAATTTATCATTTCATTTTTGCAGAGGTGCTCAGAACACAACAGTTCAGAAGCATATACATATAAAGATACACAACATATCCCTCCAAACTGCTAATATACTCCAGGTAAATATCCCAAAACCCCTCCTTTAGAGTGCAGGCATTGTACTTCCCATTTCCAGGACTCAAGTCTGGCTATATAAAAATAACCGGTTTCCCTGAATCCCTTCACTAATTCAATATATTTAACAAGAGTAATAAATGGATGATGAAATGTAATGGTGATATATGTATTCCTGACATGCCTTTATATTTACATTCATATGAAGGGCAGAATGGTACTGTAATTTCCAGAATGACTGATATCTATCAAGAGTAATGTATGTAATGTAGTTTTTGTAGTATCTGTTACCTAAAAAGGATTAAAAAAAAATTTTACTGAACAATACATGTTTTATTAAGTCAAAAAAGACATCAAATATATGAAAAAGTAAACTAAAGTACTTTAAGTAACTTGTTTTAAACAGAATTTTGTAAAACAGGAACAAAGCAAGCGTTAATCTTTTTGATCTATTCTAAACAACACGAGGCAGCTTTAAGAATAACAACAGAGTATGAAATACAGATACTGTGTATCGTCTGCAGCAAACTTACATCCCTTGGTGGTGGTGTTGTGAAGGACTTCTCCATCTGCATGTGCACAGCCAATTTTACATCATCTAATTCAATTGTCTTTATCTTTTTGGCATAATTGGCATAAACTCTGGCATCATCCAAGATTTGTGACACATATCCTGAAATAATAATAAAAAATTTAAGTGCAAAAGTTCAAAAGAACATGGAAATTATAATAAATGACCCAGACAAAAAATTAAAAATAAAATACAAGCACTCCACTTCCTTGATCAGTAAAAACAATCTTACCTTCCTAAAGTTAGTGAAAACTCTGAAAAACATTTAGAAAACTGACAATGATGACTTTTATTTCAGTTTTTATGAAGCCCTAAACCTATGTATGTCATTTAGCACAAGGAGTGGTGGAGGTTCAATCCTTGCTCACCATGTGGCTCAGTTGGCAACGCACTCGCTTCACACAATGAGTGTCCATGGTTCAATCCCTGGCATGGGTGGAAATGCTGGGCATGTTTCCTTGTAGCTAGCAGTAATAATTATTATTATTATAATCAAAGGGGTAGCACTAAACCCGTAGGATAATACAGTGCCTGTGGGGGGGGATGTGGATGGAATTCTGGTTTAATTCAGGGAACTGGAGCACAGATCCAATTCCCCAGATCAAGAGCCCCTCACCAGCATCAAGGAACCTTCCTTGAGGGGACCTGCAGAATAAAAGTTATTATTACATTCATGGGGGAAGCACTAAACACGTAAGTTATATAGTGCCTGAGTATATGAGAGATAATCAGGTTTGAGCCTAGAATATGAATGATACATCCAATTCCTTGGATCAAGAGCAGAAGACAAGATTACTACATCCATGAGGAGCGCTAGCCCGTAGGGATCATACAGCGCCTGGGGGAATTCGAGGCATTCAGATTTAATCCAAGGAAGGAGGAGCACAAGTCCAACTCCTTGGATCAAAAGCCCCTCAAAGGCTTCAGGAACCTCCCCTGAAGCGGCAACATAATACAACCCTTAAAATAAGAGATGCCCATGACACTCACTGTACGTGAATTCCAACATTTGGTTTATGACTCCTGGCTCGTAGTCACTGATACCCATATCCTTCAGGATGGCAGTCATCACTTGTGCTTCCTTGGGCACCGCCACTTTCGGCTCTTTGGCCATGTTTGAGCTACCCAGGGGCACAAATTAGCCCAAAAAAAAGAGAGACACCACCCCGTCTACTGACTATTGTAAACAAGTGGACCATCCAAGCCAGGAACTTCGTATCATCCAATTTATTGTTGTATCTCACTACTTCTTGTCTATTATTATTAAATCAACATTTTATTCAATTCAGTTCAATTCAAAGTTTATTCTCTATAAGGATTACAATGCTGAGTTTACAGAATTTGGTTATTGTTTGGTTTACATGTAGTAAAATAATGATTACAGAGTGTACCACTAGAACACCTAGCATGGCTAGGCATTTCGGGAAAACATAATATACCAAAGTATTTGAAAAACATACGTAATCACAATCAACTGAGACAAAATTCTGCAGGCCTAACTTTGATTATACGAAGTCAAAGTCTCAATATATGTAATATATGTATTGAGACTTTGACTTCGTTATAATATATATATATATATATATATATATATATTATATATATATATATATATATATATATATATATATATTATATATTATATATAATTATATATATAAAATATAGGGAGGTACCACCTCTAGAACTGTCATGGGGACCCTCATCCTCAGAGAAAAGAATAAACTTGCTTCAGGGAAAACTCAAGATTCTCCCTGAAGCTGTTTGAGAATTTTCTCCTACCACCCCCTATATTATGTATATATATTTTATTTAAAGACAAAATACATTGACGAAACATTCACAAAAATATGATACAAAGTAAAACAACATAGGTAACTCAGAGCTACATCTCGAATACTTCGTCCAGCTCCCCTGCGGTGGGCCGCGTGCCCAGAATGCTGCAGGCATTTCCTCTCTGGATCGCAACACTGATTCTCTGAAAGAGGAAGCTGGTCGCCCTGTGGTCCTTGGTTTCTATGATGAGCTTTTCACCCAGCTCTTTGAGGAACTTTAGAGCACACTTGCCCCATGCTCCAAGGGTCTCCGACCCTATTGGAATGAAGTTATAGCAAGGGGGAAGGTCTTCATATTTTCGGATCTTCTGGGTCTCCCTGTGGCTGGCAGCTCCACCCCCTTCCACTACAGAGTATGGCAAGTAGGTGTCTGCCAATGTGGCAGCACAGGTGTAGTCCCAGGCAATCTGCTTTCCATCCTTCCAGGGTAGCATAGTGGCTCCATCAGGACGCTTTTGACTTCCATCAGACCTCTGTACTTATATATATATATATATATTATATAATATATATATATTTATATATATATATATATATATATATAATATATATATATATATATAATATATATATATATATATATATATGGACTTTGCCAACGTTTTCAAGTCAGTCAAAAAAGCAGTTTATAGAAACTTCCCTTCACTTTATCCCCTCATAGAATCGTGTTATAGTGTGACTTCCAAACTATTGTTTGGGGACCATGAAATTGACTCATGTGAGGGCATGCAAACCATACCCCCGGCCGGGATTGAACCCGCGGTCATAGAGTTGCAACAGGGAAACCCCTCTCGCCCCCTTTCTATTCTGTTTGGTCAAGGGAGTCACAGAAGCACTCTCCAGTGAGCTCAATATCTGGTTTCTGGACGATGGTACCCTAGCTGGCACAGCAGAATCTCTCCTAGAGGACATCAGTAAAATTAGACATGGGAGAAAGCCTGGGCCTTTCTTTAAACCCCAACAAATGCGAAATAGTTTCTACCAATCAACAGATGATCCAGAATATTAGCGCCGTTTTACCAGGAGCACGAGCCATTGATCCAGCCAATAGCACTCTTCTTGGTGCTCCTCTTGGGTCCAATGCCATCGATCTGATCCTAGAAAAAAAAGTCTCAGACCTCCGGACGATGGAAAGCATGATGAAAGACATTGACACACACGATGCCTTCTACCTACTCACCAGGTGCCTGTCAATCCCAAAACTTACCTACTTTCTGAGATGCTCCCCAGCCTTCAGCAGTCCAAAACTCAAGGAATATGACTCTCTCCTTAAGACCATGCTAGAGAGTGTATTGAATCTCCCTTGAATTATTATTATTATAATCAAGGGGAAGCGCTAAATCCGTAGGATTACACAGCGCCGGGGGGATGTGGAAGGCATTCAGGCTTAATTCGGGGAACTGGAGCACAGATCCAATTCCCTAAATCAAGAGCCCCTCATCAACTTCAAGGAACCTTCCGTGAGGGGTCTTTCCCTTGAAGATGGACAGTGGTTGCAAGCCTCACTTCCGGTCAGGCTTGGGGGGCTGGAAGTACGCAGATCCTCAAATCTACCAGCTTTCCTATCCTCTGCCATAGCATCAAACGAGTTGATACGACAAATTCTTCCTGATACCCTCAGTGACTCAGCAGGAATAGAAGACTCTTGCTGTCAGTTTTGTCAAGGTTGGGAACCAAAGCAATCATAGTACTAGGGGGAGAGAGCACAACTTTGTAGTACCCACAGTCATTGGCCAGGCTTCAAACACCTTTTATTGTACAGCAATAAAGGAATGGAACAGACTGCCCGCACATGTCAAAGCCAGTCATAGCATGAACCAGTTCAAGAAGAGTGCCAAAAGGTGTCTGATGAATGTAGCTACAGAAAGGGAGGGGAATGATTTTCTATTTTTTAGCTAACATACGTGTAAATTTTACCTTATTCCTAGTAATGACCCTCGTATTGTAGATAGTCTTAATGACCCTCGTGTAGTAGACAGTCTTTTTAGTATGATAATAAGATGTTCTCTTCATTGTAGAATAATAAGAAAATATTATAACCTTTATATTATAATAAGGTAAAAGGACCCCAATGGAAATAAGTCACTCTGTCTGACTTTTTTGGGTTATCCTTGGTTCTCTACACATATGCTGCTATGTATGATAATTCTATGTAACTGTATTTGTGTATACCTGAATAAACTTACTTACTTACTTACTGCCAGTGCCATCACTGAATGGGAGACTCTTGCTGCTCCAGCACCAAACCCTAGTGCAGCACTGGCTCACAAACAGTCAAGCTGGGATGGCACAATCGCTGAAAAGGTGCTTGCCAACATGCTCGGGCTGCAACATCAGATAGGGAGATTTCCTGTCTCCAGGCTGTGAATGTACCTCACTCCAGGGACTTCCTCCAAACTGTTCCCATATCGGCAATGGGAACGCGACTCTACCCTAAGACCCTCTGTATTGCAGTGGCTCTGCGCCTAGCTGCCCCAATTCACACAGAATATACGTGTATTTGAGGCGAAGCACAAGCAGACCAATACGGTCTACATGGTCTAAATGTTCCAAAAACAAGACTGTTGGCATGCAAGACAATGAGGTCAACGACATCATTAAGAGAACCCTTGCTACAGCAGGATGCCCAGCCGAGAGGGAGCCCCGATCACTAGCAGCCAACAATACTCACAACCCAGCAAACTGCCCCGACAGGATCACATCTACCCTTTGGGAAAATGACAAGCAATTAGCATAGGGACATTACCTGTGCCCACTAGATGACCTCATATCCTCAACTCCAGTGCTGGGGTCAGAGGAGCTGCCTGACCACAGGGATGAGTACAAGTCTGCAATACAGTACTATAAGCCAACAGTATCAATTTGCCCTAAGTGGGATCAAAAGACCATGGATCATGGGAAAAAATGCACAACGTTTCCTTAAAGAATTGGGTTTCAGACTCATCGACCCACAAGGGACCCAAGGGGCAGCCACTTTCAGTTCCACGCCTCAGCGTACCATCCTTGGGAAATGCATTGCTGCATACTTGGCTTGCGTCCCAGCCATCGAGTTGGAGGAAATTCATGATTTTGATACATTGGCATTGTATCATTTTATGATTTTCTGTAAATGATCTGTTTATTAATAAATGGTTCACATAGAAAATCAAAATTAGTGGGTGGTAGAGAGAGAAAATATTCAACAGCTCGGGGAGAAACTTGAGTTTTCCTGAGTACGTTTATTGTCTTCTCTGAGGTTGATGGGTCCCCAGTCCGCATAGAGTGTATCTTTCTATATAATAATTTAATAATATATAAATATATTAAATAAATATATATAATTATATATATATTATATATATATAATATATATATATATATATATATATATATATATATATATATATATATATATATATATATATATATATAATATATATATATATATATATATATATATATAAATATATATATATATATATATATATATATATATAATATATATATATATATATATATATATATATATATATATATATATATATATATTTATATATCCATGTTGGGGGCATCGCCCTCGCGGCCCAGTCCAGGCTGAGGGATTGATTACCTCAAATTCCAGATCTTCACCATTCTTCTTTGTATAGGACTGATGAAGCCACTGTGGCGAAACGTTTCCACAATAAAGATACCCAACTGTTGCACATGTGAATTATTTATCGACTTGTCGGGTCTCTCAACCATTTCTCTACGTTATTATTATTATTATTATTATTATTATATTATTATTATTATTATTATTATTATTATTATTATTATTATTATTATTATTATACAGTTTAAGGAAACATGTTGATAAACATCGTGCACTTGACATGTCTGTGGCGCGGCACATTATATTAACATCAGTCACGGTATTGTGCCTTTTTGTTATTTATTAACATCATTCATAAGAAAGATGTTATTATGATGTAAATAAACAGTTAAATTCGTGTTTATTTACTTTTATGTTTTCGGCAAGTGTTTTATTCTAAGACAATGATGAGATAAATTAGATCTTGAGCCAGAATTAACACCTTCCAAAATGCAACAAATCCGAAGACGGATTTGTCGCGGCTGAGAACGATGTGTTCAGTCTTACGATACACCTTGTCTTTTAGAAAATAAATTTGATGTGTTTTTTTTTTTTCCAAAAAATACTGCATCTCTATACACAAATAATATACTGCTGCAAGTATGATATATTAACTTGCATCATGTATAGACTAATGAAAGCCATTATCAAATATTTGGTAGATAGTAGCATTACTTACTAACACAAATCTTATTTTATTATATCACATGTTACTTACTTATTCACATATATTAAAGTTACAAATAACAAAGTAAGACTTGAAGAAACGTTTCGCCACACAGTGGCTTCATCAGTCCAATATAAAGCAGGAAGGTATAAGGAGAGGAGTAGTTTGAGGTAATCAGTCCCTCAGCCTGGAGTCGATGTGTTCAGTCCATCACTCTTGTAGGAAGTACAGCACAGGTTAGGTTAGGTTAGATAAGGTTCGTCAGGAAACAGGACAAGTGGTCTTAGTCAAATGATGACCCGCCGTTGGAGCTTTTGGTCATCTGACCGAGGCCTTCCTCTGGCTTACCGGTTCCCCCTTTAAAAATTTTGGTTATAGTTATAACCAATAATATTATATACAGCATAGTGCCAGAGAGGTGGCTTATATACTGCAGTCAGGTGAGTTGAAGCAGGAGGAGGCGGGATCACAGTGAGACCTTCCACTAGTGTAAGTAGGTCTTCGTCCAAAGGTTGGACATGTGTTGAAGAATTCTTTGTATCAAGATCCCATGATGTTGCATAAGTGCAACATGTGGGAATCTTCAATAAAGATTCCCACATGTTGCATAACTTTCTCAATTCTTCAACTTACAGGTTTTCAAAATCATTCATCACACACACACAGATACAAAATATGACCTGGTTAATTGCTATTTGTAACTTTTATTGTCAAAATTAGATTACGTCATAGTTTCTTCTGTATTATTAAAATAAATGGTCAGTGTGGAGTTCAGGTGAGAATAGCCACAGGTACCTATAAGTACAGTTATCATACATAGTGTAAATTACCTAGGATATCTCCAAAAATCAGACAAAGCAACTTATTTCCATTAGGGTCCTTGTATTATCTTATAGGCAACATAAACTCTTGCAATAATTGTCAGGCATCATATTGTTAGCAGTGTGTGTGTGTGTGTCATCACCCTGAGACAGCAACAAATGTAAACAAATCCATGCGGAGGAGAACCTAGTGTCTTATCACCACCACCAGGACGTAGGAAGATGGGAAGAGCAAGACGGAAATACAAGGAAAAGGCAGTTTATGTCACTGATGATTCTGAGCTCAAAAAGGTAATAAAACTTTGATTTGTTAATGAACTGGTGGTTTTCGGTGGAAGTGCCTTGATGCTGTCTCACTCATCAGGGACTTGATGAAGTCTGATAATTCTCACACTTTGATTAGAATTAATAAAGTCACAGATGGACGGGTCATCGCAATAAAATGCCTTATATTTATCAGTATATAATAGTATATGTTACTCTGATGATTGTACTTATGTGTGTTTATACCTAAATAAACTTATTTGCTTACTAAAAAGGATACAAGTACTTGGATATAAACCTTGGTAACGGATGCTGACAAGTAGTTTGGAAAGACACATAACTAAACATTAGGACATGTATACTAGGCAATCTTTAAGACAGATTAGTTTTTATCATTGCATGTACCTCAGGCATGTACCACCAGGCCCGGTGGCCTGGTGGCTAAAGCTTCCGCTTCACACACGGAGGGCCCGGGTTCGATTCCCGGCGGGTGGAAACATTTCGACACGTTTCCTTACACCTGTTGTCCTGTTCACCTAGCAGCAAATAGGTACCTGGGTGTTAGTCGACTGGTGTGGGTCGCATCCTGGGGGACAAGATTAAGGACCCCAATGGAAATAAGTTAGACAGTCCTCTATGACGCACTGACTTTCTTGGGTTATCCTGGGTGGCTAACCCTCCGGGGTTAAAAATCCGAACGAAATCTTATCTTATCTTATCTTATCTCTCTGTGCATAATATAATATCTGTGACTGTTAGATAACATATGTCATGTGGTTCTTCAACCTTCAATAACCAAAATATTGATCATAAGATTGAAAAAAACCTTACATGATAAAGACCAAACAAGCTCAGAGTTATGCTCAGCACATAAAAATTTGCTTCAAACAACTAATTTGGTTTTTGAATTAGATAAAAAGTTAAATTTTGTTGGTTAGTGTAATTCTTGAAAGTCAAGCCTTTTCTTAATTGACATTGGTTTGATTAAATGATGGCAAGCATTTTAGTGAACAAGTCTGTATTCAATTTCTCTGCACGTCATATAACAATCTTAAAATATCTTCAGCCAAATTTTTTTTTTCAGATTACAGTTGAGCTTGAATCATCAGAAAAATATGACTCTAGCAATGCCCTGGTTCTTCCATCCAAAAAGCGTGCCACAAGAAAGTTACGTGATAAAAATGCGACTCCGGTTAAGCTTCTGTCTAAGAAAAAAAGAAAAAAACTGGAGAAAATTGTTGACCAAAAAAATAAAAAGGAGAATGTATGTACTGTGCTACATAAAATCTTTTTATCATTGTACAGTAGTTATATATCATGATATATATAAATTTACCAATACAGTATGTATATATGCTAATTTTGTTTTTATGGTTATGCATAAGTTTGTGCCTGTTTAAAGACAACGCATATCATCTTTATTAAATCAGAGATTAAACACATATTTTATTTATCATGGTAGCATGCCAGTCTCCTCGCAGCACTACAGGAGGTCAAGGCTGACCCCAAGGATCTGCTGAAGTTGACACAGCTTCAAGTGACCCAGACGCTTGGAAGGAAAAAGTTTTTAGCTGAAGATTATACAACTTTTACGAACGAAGTGAAGGAAGAGGAAGGAAAGGTGCTGAGCAGTGTGAGGGGACGGAAGAGAAAAAAACCTAATGAAGAAGAGGTGGAGCAGGAAAAGAATGATGACCCAAACATTGTCAGACTTGGGGTGAGATTTTGCTGTATGTTGAATGCATCTGGTAAGGCATTTAGGGTTTTATTATGAGTCACTTAGATTTCAATTTAAGTTTTGTCTCCTGTATTCATGTTGAATTAAGTATTAAAGTCTGCCTTTGCTAAAGTGAGGTTAGCTGTTTACGTAAGTAGTCAACTTAATTTTCTCACAGCATCTGTTATGGTGGAATAACTAAATAAACGTACAGTGGACCCCTGGATATCATAGTCGTCGGATTTCGTAATATTCAGTAATCGTAAGTTTTTTAGTCAGAATATTGGCTCGGTGATCGTCATTTACCTTGGTAATAGTTGTTCGTCCCAAATGCATACGAGCAGCCCTGAGCAGCCCCACACACCATCTTACACCATTCACAGTCAGTCTGCCATTGTTTATCAGTGAGTGACCGTCACCCTATGTGTTCATACAATACATTTCATAATATTCCATTCTTTTTTGTGCTTTTAGCTGCTAAATAAGCCACCATGGGCCCAAAGAAAGCTTCTAGTGCCAGCCCTTTAGTAAAGAAGGTGAGAAACACTGTAGAATTCGAGAAAGACATCATTGCAAAATATGAAAGTGGAGTACGTGTGGCAGAGCTTGCCAGGTTGTATAAGAAACCCCATACAATCATCGCTTCCATCGTGGCCAAGAAAAAGGAAATAAGGAAGCTGTTGTTGCGAAAGGTGCAAATTCTTTCTTTCTTTCAACACACCGGCCGTATCCCACCGAGGCGGAGTGGCCCAAAAGAAAAAACGAAAGTTTCTCCTTTTACATTTAGTAATATATACAGGAAAAGGGGTTACTAGCCCCTTGCTCCCGGCATTTTAGTCACCTCTTACAACACGCATGGCTTACGGAGGAAGAATTCTGTTCCACTTTCCCATGGAGGTAAGGGGAAATAAACAAGAACAAGAACTAGAAAGAAAATAGAAGAAAACCCAAAGGGGTGTGTGTATATATAAATGCTTGTACATGTATGTGTAGTGTGACCTAAGTGTAAGTAGAAGTAGCAAGACGTACTGAAATCTTGCATGTGTATGAGACAGAAAAAAAAAAGACACCAGCAATCCTTCCATCGTGTAAAACAATTACAGGCTTCAGTTTTACATTCACTTGGCAGGACGGTAGTACTTCCCAGGGCGGTTGCTGTCTACCAACCTACTACCTAGGAAAAGGTGCAAATATGCTCACAAAACAGAGATTGCAAATACTCGAAGATGTGGAGACTGTTGTTGGTGTGGATCAACCAAAAACAGTTAGCAGTCAATAATTTGTGAAAAGGCAAGGCAGTTGCATGATGATCTTGTAAAGAAAATGCCTGGAACTAGTTCTGATGTTAGTGAATTTAACCCTTTGACTGTCGAAGGGCCCAATCCTGAAGTTGCTCCTGGTGTCGCAAAATATTCGAAAAAAAAAAAATTATTTTTTCTTATGAAATGATAGAGAATCTTTTCCCGATTGTAAAGACACCAAAAAAACGAAATTTGATGGAAAACTGACGGAATTACGCTCTCGCGAAGTTAGCGACTTCGGCGATATTTAAAAATCGGCAATTTCGCCCACTTTGAGCCCTATTTTCGGCTAATTCCGTTATTCCAGTCAACCAAACTCATAACTATTTCTTCAGAACTCTATTTTTTCTATCGATTGAGCACAAGAAACTGCCCATTTACCGATTTCAACTACCCAATAACATGGTCAGAAATTTGCAATTTGGCCAATTTCACGAAAATTAAAAAATACGACAATTTCAAAATAAGGTCCAGAATGAACAATGCAGACATTCCTGGCTCTAAAATAAGATTTTCTTTGTTCATCAGTCATGTCTCCAGGTCCCTGTGATATTACTCTTGCTTTTTATTTTGAAATTTTATTCAAACAAAAAATAGAAGATTTACTGTTATGCAGACTACTGCAATACTGTAATAATTGTAAAAATTACATCAACCCATTCATGACTGCGTATTAGAATGGCTATTTGGACATTTATTGGACAATGACATCATTTGTTTACTTTTGAACATCGGCAAAAATCAAACATTTCCTGTACTTTGTGCTCCATTTCCAGGTTCTTTTTATAGTAAAATTAATCAAAATCACCTCCATTTCTATAATATAGTTTCCATTCTATCAAATGAGACCATGAAAACGAGAATACAACCACAAATACTATACGAAAATAGACCACAAAGTCGGCATTTTAATTAAAAAAAACGGTCGGAGTTTTTTTTTTCTCATTATGCACTGCGTGCTCCAGGATTTTTTTTATGTGGTGCACACTGACCACACAGACCCATTCTCTCACATGTGGGCCTACTAGCTTTCTCCTGCCTGATTTGAAGCCGCTAGAATTTATGAGTATATATACGTCAAACACGGTACCTCACAAACGTATATATACGGCCGCGACAGTCAAAGGGTTAAGGCCAACAAAGGCTGGTTTGAGAGATTTAAGAAGCGTAGTGACATACACAGTGTGGTAAGGCATGGTGAGGCTGCAAGTTCTGACAAATATGCTGCTGAAAAATATGTTCAGGAATTCAAGAGGTACATAGAGGCTGAACAATTCAAACCCCAGCAAGTGTTCAGTTGTGACAAAACAGGCCTCTTTTGGAAGAAAATGCCAAAAGGACCTACATTACGCAGGAGGAAAAGGCACTCCCAGGACACAAATCTATGAAAGATAGGCAAACTCTCATGTTCTATAGCAATGCTAGTAGTGAAGCCTTTACTGGTGTATCACTCTGAAAATCCCAGAGTTTTTAAGAAAAACAGTGTCGCCAAGAGTAAATTGTGTGTAATGTGGAAGGCTAACAGTAAGGCATGGGTCACGAGGGAAATTTTCCTTGATTGGTTCAATGAAGTGTTTGGTCCGAGTGTGAAGAAATACCTCCTGGAAAATAAGTTGGAACTCAAATGCCTCCTGGTAGTGGACAGTACTCCTGCTCATCCTCCAGACTTGGATGACCAAATGGTGGAGGAGTTTTGTTTCATCACAGTGAAGTTCTTGCCCCTTAACCCTTTGACTGTTTCAGGCCCCTCTCTGAAACTGTCATTCTATGTCGCCAAATATTAAAAAAAAAAAAAAAATTATTTTTCTTATGAAAATGTTAAGATTATTTTTCTGAGTGTTTTAGTCCAAAAAAAAAATTTTTGCCATTGGTACTTACCGAGATATAGAGCCGTGAAGTTTGCAGAAAATGAGCCGCGTATGGCAACAGCGGCGACTGCCGCTCACCCTGTAAACTTTAGTTTACTTGTAATTGAAGGTTTTTTGTTTTTTTCACTATTTTATTTTTTCACATAACTTATGTGGCCTATGAGACCAAAGTAAGGTGCAATGTATATATATACACTCGTTGTATACAACACAATAACCAAAGTAAGGTGCAATGTATATATATACAGTGGACCCCCGGTTAACGATTTTAATCCGTGCAAGAGGGGTAATTGTTATGCGAAATAATCGTTATGTGAATGAATTTTCCCCATAAGAAATAATGGAAATAAAATTAATCCGTGCAAGACACCCAAAAGTATGAAAAAAAAAATTTTACCACATGAAATATACATTTTCCCACACACAAAGAGGAGGATACATGCACAATAGTAGAGTAGTACATGCACAGTATATATTGTGCATGTACTAGTCTACTAAATGAAGAATAAATGACACTTACCTTTATTGAAGATGCAGCAATGACTGATGAGACACTGTGTCCTGGGAGTGCCTTTTCCTCCTGAGTACTGTAGGTCCTGTTTGGCATTTTCTTCCAGAACAGGCCTTATCACACTGTGTATGCCACTACGATTCTTAAATCTCTCAAACCAACCTTTGCTGGCTTTAAATTCACCAATATGAGCACTAGTTCCAGGCATTTTTTTTCCTGTTCACCTGGGTGTTAGTCGACTTGTGTGGGTTGCATCCTGGGAGACAAGATTAAGGACCCCAATGGAAATAAGTTAGACAGTCTTCGATGACACTGACTTTTTTGGGTTATCCTGGGTGGCAAATCCTCTGGGGTTAATTGTTTCTTGGTATTCTCAATAAGCCACACCAACAACGGTGCTACAGCAGCAGCAGCAGCTGACAGTGCAGCAGCAGCAGCAGCTGTACCACCAATAGTAGCGATGGTTGATTGGGGTTTATTATACAACCTGGCCAGCTCGGAGACATGCACTCCACTTTCATACTTATCAATGATCTTTTTCTTCATCTCTATTGTAATTCTCACCCTTATTGCTGTAGGGTTGGCACTAGAAGCTTTCTTGGGCCCATGGTCACTTATTTTCCAGAAAAAGCACCGAAAACACTGTAATAATACGAAATATTCTGATTGTATGCTTGGATGTTACCTCGGAGGCTGGCTGGTAAACAATGCCACCGGCGGAACATGTGAGCGTGGCTCAGGCCGCACATTGGACGCGTCTCGGACGAAAATCGGTAAGCGGGTTTTTAAGCGGTATGTGAGGCAAAATTTTTGCAATTAAAGTAAGCAGTATGCGAAATAATCGCTATGTGATGCCATCGTTATGCGGGGGTCCACTGTACACTCGTTGTATACAACACAATAAGCACACATACATAATTATCAATATATTGTTTACAAAACTTGTTTACAAAAACAAACAAACAAAATCATCATCATCATCATCATCATCATCATCATCATCATCATCATCATCATCATCATCATCTCATCATCATCATCATCATCATCATCATCATCATCATCATCATCATCATCATCATCATCATCATCATCATCATCATCATCATCATCATCATCATCATCATCATCATCATCATCATCATCATCATCATCATCATCATCATCATCATCATCATCATCATCATCATCATCATCATCATCATCATCATCATCATCATCATCATCATCATCATCATCATCATCATCATCATCATCATCATCATCATCATCATCATCATCATCATCATCATCATCATCATCCTCCTCATCCTCATCCTC